TACTAATCCTACTGCACAGAGGTCCATTAAAGACCTGAAGGGTCCACTGAATACCCCAAACTTTAAGTTTAAATCCACTTACTCCATAACCACAAACACATGCACATATCAAACAAATTCAAAATATATCCAAAATAAGATTAGAACTTTATCCCATTTAATGTTTTTATTAATCAATGGTACTAAAAATTCAAGTTCACACTAATGTCCACATACACAGCTCACATAATCCATAGAACTCCCTATTAAAAGTAATTAAGGTATGGTGCGAGAACAGTACACGTGAACAACACATGTGAACAGTGATTAAAAAAGTAGCAATCTGCTTCCAAGCTCACCCACAATTTCAAGGACCAATTCACTATATAAATTCTAACTTAATCATACAAGGGATACAAATAATAACAGTAGTACTAATCTATAAAATCCACACTAAATCAAGCATGGAAAAAGGAAATTGATTTATCATCCATCCCGTGCAAGCCCCAAAAATTAAAGATATTTCTAATGAAATTTTAATGCCAACAAATCTTATAAACCAAAGGATTTAGGTCAAATCTCATCAATTTAAACTATCAAAAACTCTAACTTAAATTCATAACCAAAACTTATACTTACCTATGAAAATCCAAACATAAAGCAGTAAAATTACAAGAAATTTTCAGCTGAACAGTATAGATTTAGCACTATACCAAGCTGGAAGGAGAAAGAAAGGTGCAGACGGGAAGAAGGAAGGCTACAAAGGAGTGGTGGGGGTTCGGGAGTCTTCTAGAGGTTTATCCAATACCAACTGAAAAATCCTTGGTTGGTGTAATGTCACGTGGAAAAAAAATTGAAATATTGGAGTTAAGGCCATTCAACTCTTATTAAATTCTACTTAAAACCCCCAAACTTTAAATTCAATTAATTTCATCCTTAAAACTATAAAATGAAAGACTCTAATTTTTTAAATTATTCACTGAGATACGTGGGTGTTACAAGTTTACCGTCACATTTGCATCACATGGTTTAAGTCATTGCATGACCTCATATTTGCATCATTTGAGTTATGTGTTTATTACACCCTGGCCATACAGTAACTATAATTTTTTTAATATATTTTGAACATGAATTAAGGCTTATGATTATTGCTATAATTAATGGGTTTGTTTAAGTTATATTTTAAGAGTACAAGTTAAATTTTATTAAATATAAAATTTTTAATTGATTTTATATAAATTTGTATGTCTGATTCACATTTTTTTAAATTTTAAGTATAAATATTATATTATATTTTTATTTTTATTTTATATTTTATATTTTATTCCAATTAAATTTGATATAAAAATTATGTAAAATTAATTAAAAATATTACATTTAATAAAATTTAACC